GATAGCTTATTTTAAATGCTGGCAAGGATGTGGAAAAAAAAGTACCCTAGTATACTTTTGGGGAAAAAGTAAACTAGTCCATCCATTATGGAAGACACTGTACAGATCCTTCAGAAATCTGAAAATCTATCTACCATAAGATCCAGCCATCCTAGTCCTGGGAATTTACCTGAAATCAGCATATGAGTTATCTTTATCTCCATGTTTATAGCAGTTCAATTCACAATAGTTAAGATACGGAATCAACACAGATATCCATGAACTGATGACTGGATAAAGAAAATATGATATATGTATATGTACATATATATACAATGTAATACTATTTTGCCATAAAAGAGAATTAAATCCTGTATTTAAAAACAAAATTGATACAACTGCAGACTATTATGCTTACTGAAATAAGCCAGTAATAGAAAAACATATATACTTTCTCTGATTGTGGTACTCTAATACACAGAGTACTCTAATACATAGAGTACCAAAAAAGTAGTGTATATGAGTGAAATTGACATCTTGATATTTGATTATTATTTATAACACTTGTATCTACTCCTGATTAACAGCAGTTTGTCTACTTAAAAATAATTTTTCAAAATAATAAAAAATTGGACCCTCACTCCTTTTATGAAATGAATAATTTACATAAATTCTTCATATAATGGAAGCATTTAAACAATCAAAAATTTTTAAATTTTGTTTTAAAGGTAATTTTTTTCCAAGATTTGCCTTTTCTGAAAAAAAGATAAGAATATGATAAAAATTTTTTACAGTTAAGCATTGCATTGCTCTAAATATGACTTATTTTAAGCAAATTTAGGAGTAAACTAAGCTGGTGTGTATTATTTGCCTAAATGTGCATACTCAATACACCAAGCATGATTTTTTACCAGCAAACAAGTTACATGTTGTATACAGTATGCTCCTATTTTAAAAAATTAATATAGGCAAATGAAGGGCAATAAAATACATATATTCTCAATTCTCAAAAATTGAAACTGTTTTAAATTATATTCTTATGAGATAAAGAAGATTAATGAAGTACAAACACAAAGTGCTGTGCACGTTTCAGAATAGTAGATCTCATCCATGCAAATTCAGCTATACAACTTGGACGAATTAAGAAGAAAAGGAGAGAAAGAGTATTTTTAGTACAAGAGATCCTAGTTGTTTTCTCACTGGTCACCAGGGATGAGCATGAGAAGAGACATGAATCAGTGGCCTACTTTCCCTCGTCTGTGTTCTCTGATTCCTGAGTGAGTGCAGCACACTCAACTAGGTATAATTTTAGTGCTCTAATATAACCACCTATTTTTCACTCAACTTGTCTCCTAATGGCAGGTAAATATAAGATAGCTTCTTTAATGAAACAACAGTGATCTTTTCCAAAACTAATAGGAAAAAAAAATAAAAACAACTTGTGTTGAAAAGTTGCAACTGGGGACTAGTATTTTTTCTTTGAGGCTGTGTTTCCATATAGGGTCTGTAAGTATTTTCTTAGGCTGCTGTAACAAAATACCACAAATTGGGAGATTAAACAACAAACATTTATTCTCTCACAGTTCTGAAGGTTAGAAGTTCAAAAACAATGTGTGTTCAGGGACATGCTCTCTCCGTGACAACCCTAGTAAGGGAGCTGTTCCTTGCCTCTTTCAACCTCTAGTGTTGCTGGCCATCTTTGACATGCCTTGGCTTGTAGATTAATTACTACAATCCTTGCCTCCACTCCCTGGGGATGTTCGCCCTGTGTCAATCTCTATCTCTTCTACATTCACAAGAAATCTATTCATATTGGATTACCACATCCTAAAGACTTCATCTTGATCTGACCACATCTGCAAGTAACACAAGTAGTAGCTGTGAGCTGAGTCTTGGCCAATTAGCTTACAAATCAATCCTAATTCTGTCACTTAATAAGATAGCTTACCCTTCTGTAAAAGGGTCATAATAACAATATAAATATCATAAGGTATTAAATAAAAAATGCAAAAATTTGACAGACCCTAGCACAAAATAAGTGTTAAAAACAGTTTTCAGCAATATTCATAGGGAAATAACTGTTATTACAGTCAATATTTGTTGAATGCATAAAATTTTAAAGGTTGTTTCAGGCTAGATCCTTAGATGATTAATAAAGTAAATCAGCTACTTGTCTAGTCTCATACTTATTAAAAAATGATCACAACAAAAATATGGCACATATGGTAAAATAATAAAATATCTCAGCAACGTCTACAAGTACTTCCTAAGAGAATTGGAAAGAGCAAGATATGGGAGACTGGAAACTGAATGTTGTTCTTAATTGCCTCTGAGTCTGCCATAAAGAGAACATCTTGAGTGTGTTCTCCTGTAAAATTACATTGGTTTACGTGCTATTTCCAATTTATTTACATAAAACCATGCGCACTATACTTTATGAGATATTAAAATAATTTCCCAGAGTAGTTCTGGCTGTACATGACTTTTGCCTAATGCACTGGTATTAAAACCAACTTCACTGAATAAAGTAATGTTCTTATAAATAGCTTGATGCTACCAAGAAATAATTTTATAATTTATACAAAATATGTTGACATATAATTTCACTTCCATAAATTTATCATCAGATAACAATTCAGGATATGTATCAATATTTAGCTATAAACATATTTACTTCAGAATTATAAACAATAAAAATTGGAAAAAGAACATAAGTGTTCAATTACAGGAGATTTAGCGAATGTGTGTTTTACTTAAATACAACCAATAGAACTACAGTCATTTAATAGTCATGTAACAAAACCGAAATATACCATTTTCAGTAATGGGAACAGATTGCAAAATGGCATACTGCACACTTACCTCATTTATAAAAAAAATCTATATGAGTCATCTACACACGGGGAGAGGTCTGTAGAAATATATTCTAAGAGTGATTTTAACTTTCTTTATTTTGCTTGTATGCATTTCCTGATTTTTCTACACATATATCACAAGCATGATTTTCAAAACCTAGTACAAGTAAATTGTGTAAGATGGTTTGTAGCCACAATCTGGAACTATGAATTAATTCAGTAAAGCAATTAGATTATGTTGATTTTTAAAAACTTTTTTTAGAGGAGAGCATTTAATTTAGCAACCAAGGTGCTGGCTAAGATGTCTACAATCCACTTTGGAGTATCTGGGTTTCATACACTAGATTCCAGCTGCCTGTGGTTGCAAAATCCTAGGAGGCAGTGATAGTGCTTCGAATAATTGGTCTTTCTGCCACCGTTATGGAAAACTGGAAGAGTTCCTGGCTTCTGGGTGGGGGAGTTGGCCTTGCCCAGCCACAGCCATCACAGGAGTTTGGAGAGTGAAACAGCAGATGGAAGACTCATATCTGTCTCTCAAATGATTTAAAATAAACACCTATTTATTGTATAGCAGAGCAGATTTCATGGTTAAAGACTTTAACCCTGGCTGGCACTGTGGCTCAATAGGCTAATCCTCTGCCTGCAGCGGGCGCTGACAACCCCAGGTTCTAGTCCCGGTCAGGGCACCAGATTCTGTCCCGGTTACTCCTCTTCCAGGCCAGTTCTCTGCTATGGCCCGGGAGTGCAGTGGAGGATGGCCAAGGTGCTTGGGCCCTGCGCCCAAATCGGAGACCAGGAGAAGCACCTGGCTTCTGGCTTTGGATCAGCGCAGTGCACCAGCCACAGTGCGCTGGCAGCAGCGGCCATTGGAGGGTGAACCAACGGCAAAGCAAGACTTTTCTCTCTGTGTCTCTCTCTCACTCTCCACTCTGCCTGTTAAAAAAACAAACAAACAAACAAACAAAAAAAAACTTTAATCCTTTTGATGCAATATAAAACACAGATACAAAAGAAACATAAAAGAAATGAATGTCTTAATGAGTTTACACAACAACCTGCTACCAATACCAAAGTTGAAAACAGAACTTTGTTAGTCACTGTTGAAGCCATTCCATGTGCCCTGTTCCAGGTACAAACCCTGTCCATGCACCACCACCTCCAAATAAGTAATCATTATCATGACTTACAGCAAATGCTTTCTTGTTTTTAATCATCCAAAAATGTATTTCTAGGCACTCTTGTTTAGCCTTACCTATCTAGGTTTGTAGTTAGATGCTTTGATTACATGATATTTTGTCATGTTTCTCAGTAGCATGCATATCCAGAAATTTTGTAATTGGATTGAAAGGTGTCATTTGACTCAGGTTTGATACCACTCTTAGGGCTATAAGTGGCGCTGTATTCTCCATAAGCGGCATATATTATCCAGTAGTACTTTTTACATGCGTGGCAGCTACTGATGCTCAATGATTCTTTCATTCTCTGAGATGCAAAATGGTGATATTTGAGTTCTATAATTTTTGATGTATTAGTTGAGCTAGTTTTTTTTTAAGATTTATTTATTCATTTGAAAGTCAGAATTACACACAGAGAGAGCAAGAGGCAGAGAGAGAGGTCTGGTTGAGTTAGTTTCGATATACTTTTGTCCATCTGTTTGGTAGCACCACAGTAAAGGTCACGCGGGAAAGATAAAATGTATGGTCGATTCTTTAACTTCATTTATTAGTATGTTATCATCTCTGAAGGGGACCAATTCATTGTCCATCTCCTTAATCATTGATTTAAATATATTTTGTGGATTTAAATTAATTTCAATCATCTATTTTAAGCTCCAATGGTCTCACTAAGAACCTCTACCTCTTTGCTCTTGATTTCTTTTGACCCTAGTAGTTTTTGATAGTTTTCTCTTAGCAGTTGTGATAAGGAACTCATGTTACTTATCAGGCTTGCTTGTGTTAAGCCTTTCTTTCTTTGGATATGGAATTAGCCTTTTTCCCAGGAAGTAAAAAGCATTGTGAAATACTTTGGAAAATAGCACATTAAGGCCACAAATATATGAACACCAGATATTCCCTAGATCTTTTCAGTTCCAAGAGGTAGAAATATACATGTATTTTCCATACCTATCTACATAAAGTTTTGTTCTCATGCGTTTATACTGACAATCCTAAATCAAATTTAGAACTATAGGGTTTTAAAGTTAATCTATTGTATATTACTTCTATGTCTTCTTTCTTGGGAAAAGTTTTCAATTAGCAATAATCGCGCCTCAGATAAACCTCATTGGCTACGATACTGCCACTGCACAAAGCTACTATGCCTTCTTTCTTTTATACTAAGAAACCTATTGTTCAAGGACACAAGAGATAGAAGAATTAGACTACTCCATAATTATTCATGTATTTTATCCCATATCTCACATGTACACATTAGTCTCAGGATAACTATAGTAACATTATCCTCATTAATATAACATTTTTAAATAACAAAACAATCTCTGTGCTGGCAGTGTAGGAGATAAGCTGCTGCTTGTGACATGAAGAGCATATGTCTTGAGTTTCCGTTTGGGTCCAGGCTGCCATGCGTGGGATGCAGCTCCCCGCTATAGTGCCTGGGAAAGTAGTGGAAGATGGCCCAAGTACTTTGGCACCTGCCACCTGTGTGGGAAACCTAAACTGAGTTAAGGGTTAGTTTTAGGTTTGCCCAGTCAGGCCATTGTAACCATTTTGGCAGTAAACCAGCAGACAGAAGAGCGCCCTCTTTCTCTTTACCTGTCAGTCTGCCTTTTGAAATATTAAATAAATCTTTAAAAATAAGTATTTCCACTTTTTCCCCATTTTCTGCAATTTTACCATACTCATAGTATCTGAGTGAACCATTGCATGGAAGATCTCTCTCTCTCTCTCTCTCTCTCTCTCTCTGCCTCTCCTCTTTCTGTGTTTAATTTTGACTTTCAAATAAATGAATTTTTTTTTTTAAAGGAGTCATAGGATTTAGGGTGGTCCCTCTTTTCAAAGCTTTACCTCAGGCAACTTTAAGTGCGTTGGTTACGGTTTTAGGCAAAATCTCTGTTTGAAACCCTGTTCCAGATTAGCCCCATGTGATTTCCACCTCAACCTACTGGCTGTTTTAACTTTATTCTCTCCTCAGATGTACCACTTGCCCTGTTGTATCTCTATGTTATCTCCTGTAGACATCAGGCAAGTGATATGGCTGTTTGTGAATTCATGTCCACCTGCTTGAATGTTGTGATTTGTGGAGAAGTCTTTTGAATTTGTTATGTGATAAATACTGTCCATAGTTTTCTGTGTTTTTTTTTTCTCATTGCTCTGTGTATTTTCATGTGAAGATTGAGAATCACAAATGCACCACCGCATCATCACCCTTATTTTTATTTACTTATTTTATCATCTGATATTTGATTTTTCCATGGTAATGTGATATTAATACAAAAAGATAACAAATTCAATGTAGTTTGTAGATACAATCCTAAGAATTTAATGATATCCCTTCCTTTCTCCTCCCCCTTCATTCCCACCCTCCCTCCTTGTGTACCTCACACTCTTTTTCTCCCATTTCCTTTTGTCTTTCTTCTTTCTACCTCCCTTCTTTCTTTTCTAGCTTTTTAGATTATATATATATAGACAGGCCGAGTGGACAGTGAGAGAGAGAGAGACAGAGAGAAAGGTCTTCCTTTGCCGTTGGTTCACCCTCCAATGGCCGCCGCGGCCAGAGCGCTGTGGCCGGTGCACTGCGCTGATCCGAAGGCAGGAGCCAGGTGCTTCTCCTGGTCTCCCATGGGGTGCAGGGCCCAAGCACTTGGGCCATCCTCCACTGCACTCCCTGGCCACAGCAGAGAGCTGGCCTGGAAGAGGGGCAACCGGGACAGAATCAAGCGCCCCGACCGGGACTAGAACCCGGTGTGCCAGCGCCGCAAGGCGGAGGATTAGCCTAGTGAGCCACGGCGCCGGCTAGATAACATATTTTTAATTTACGTTATGGTCAAGAGCTTAATGCTCCACTAACTAAAGAGTTCAATAAGGAAAAAAGTGAAAAGACCCTAGTTCAGTGGGAATATAGGCAAAGGTTATAAACAATAATCAGTTGGAAAAGTGACCATTTCACCCATGAACATTACATTTTAAAATAATCACATATTAAAACTATAGTATTATTACTTTCTTATCTGCTGTTTTGACAAAGATATAATACAAAGTTTAACAAAATTATATTTACAATGGTACTGATCCACACAGGCTGTTATTTCTTTTCTCTCTCCTTTTTATTTCAGCTCCCACTTATACAGGAGAACATGCAGTATTTGTCTTTTTGTTTTGTGTCTTGCTTATTTCACTCAACGTGATGTCCACCACCTGAATTCATTTTGATATAAATGATAAAATTTCATTCTTTATTATAGCTGAGTAGCATATCATATTTTCCATATCCATTCTTCTGATAATGGACCACTTTGTTGATTCCATATTTTGGCTATGGTGAACAGTGCTGTTATAAACATGCTGGTGCAGATACCTCTTTGATGTGACATGTCCATGTCTTCTGTATATACCCAGTAGTGGGACTCCTGCATCATATGGCAAGTCTATTTTTAGTTTTTTTAGGAAATCCCCTAGTATCTTCCATAGTGGATGCACTAATTTACATTCTCACTAATAGTATACAAAGGTTTCCTTTTCTGCACATTCCCACCAGCATGTGTATAATAGCCATTCTGACTGGGGTGAGGTGATATCCCCATGTGGTTTTGCTGTGCATTTCCCTGATGGCTAGTGATGCTGAACATTTATTTTTCATATATTTGTTAGCCATTTGTATTTATCCTTTCAAGAACTGTCTGTTGAGGTACTTTGCCCATTTCCTAACTGGATTGGTTGTTTTTTGTTGTTGAGATTTTTGAACTGTTTGATATTCTCTAAACATTAATCATTTGTCAGATATGTAGTGAGTAAATTTTTTCTTGTTATGTTGGATGTCTCCTCACTCTCCTAATCATTTCCTTTGCTGTACAGAAGTTTCTGAGTTTGATTTAGTCCCTTTGTTTAGTTTTGTTTTTATTTCCTGTGCGTTGGGAGTCTTGTTCCAGATGTTGTTAAACCAATATCTTGGAGCGTCTCCCCTACATTTTCTTTCAGAAGCTTCATAGCTTTAAATCTTAATTTCAGGTCCTTGATCCATCTTGAGTTGAATATTGTATATGCTGAGAGGTATAGATCAAACTTCATTCCTCTGCATATATAAATCCAGTTTTACCACAACATCATTAATATAAATGGTGTTAAACTCCAAGGATGCACAAACATAATTTCAAATTTTTGTTTATTTGGATTTTATTAACTAGTCAGTTATTATTTACTGGCTGGTCCTTTATGAGTCCTTTTCAAACAGTTCCTGGAAGCTGTGCATTATGAAAAAGCTGCTAATAGTTTTCAGATTTGTTTTGTCCCAAACATACATTTAAATTCCATTTTCAACATTTTGAAGTATCATGATACATTTCCTTGACTACAGACACAATGAAAATAAATTAAGGGTTTGTCTTTCTTTTTATATTTTAATTGCAATATTGACCGACAGCTTGAAACACAAGAGGAAAAAAATCCCCGATTTATAGTTGATTAGAAAAAATGAATAAAATTCAGACTTTCGCCTAGGTGCAAATTTTATCTGAACTACCTTACTCCTGTATTGCTTTTTTTTTTTTTAAAAAGATCTATTTATTTATTTGAAACTGAGAGTTACACAGGGATAGAAGGAGAGGCAGAGGGAGAGAGAGAGGTTCTCCATTTATTTGTTCACTCTCCAACTGGCCACAACAGCCAGAGCTGTGCCAGGTTTCCCACGGTGGTGCAGGGGCCCAAGGACTGGAGCAGCTGGGTCTTTCACCAGCACCCACATGAGATGCCAGCACTGTAGGTGGTGGCTTTACCCGCTATGCTGCAGCACTGGCCCCACTCCTGTGCCTCTTTGAGGGTGTGCCTACTACATGAAGTTATGTCATAAATTGAGACTGTTGTAAATTGCTGGTTAATTGTAGCTGGTGATGCATGAACTCAGTTCTCTAAGCACACTTAAATCAACACCATGATCTGCTGCACTTTGTTATATTCTTAATGTAAGCCACACACACCTTAGTTTGACTATTATTTAATAATGATAATCAAATAAGTAAGTATTGCTTTAGGAAGTTTTTTTTCTTCACTACAAGTATATTCGGGTCTGAAATTGCTCACAACTTCTCTCATACAACTTAGTCTTCATATAGAGTTTGGCAAAATTGAACATGCCATCTCCCTAATGGAACAAAGTGAAGCTCTTTGAGACAATAACCAGCTCACTTCATCCTTTTCCCTTAGTAACTGAAATGTTGTTTAAGCTTTTGGAATTTGGTTGCTCTCCCTACTTTCACAGGATTGCTTGCCTGGGGAAATAACTATTTGTACATATTGTGCCATAATATAATCTTTGAAGTAGGCAATGGTCAAAGGTACTAATGTTTCTCTGATATATTATAGTATTTGAACTAAGTTTGAGTTTTAATGATTTTCTTTACATACTTTTATTAAAAAATTATAATGATTAATTTTATGTCATTGTGGCTGTGTATGCAAACATTTCTCAAACAATATTGGTCAACAAATATTGGTCAAATAATATTCTAGATGTTTCTGTAAATATGTCATTTTAGGGAATTAATTTTTTAATTGACAAATTTGAATGAAGTGAATTGGTCTCTGTAATGTGGTGAGCCTTATCCAATCAGTTGAAAGTCTTAACAGAGAGACTGATCTTCTCCAAAGAAGGAAGAATTTTTCCAGAGCACTTGAACTTGAACTGTAATTCCTGGTCTCTAGCTTATTCTCCTGCAGATTTTTGTGAAAGATTCTGTCTCTCTCCCCCCACCACCCACAGACACACACACACACACACACACACACACGCCCTTGCACCATTGCATTCACTTTAGTTCTCTGGAGATCCCTGACTACTATGTAAATTATCTAAATATAATTAAAGATTACACAATTACTGCACTAGTGTGCAGAAACTTTTCTTAACTCAATTTCTTCTTTATTTTCTCTTTTGACAATTTTTTTTAAAGAAGATTTATGTGTTTATTTGTTTAAAAGAGACACTGCAAAGACAGAGAGAGCTAGTAAGAAATCTTCTATCTGGAATTTACTCCCCAAATGACTGCAATAACCAGGCCTAGCCAGGCCAAAGCCTAGAGCAGGGAGCCAGGAGCCAAGAATTCCATCAGGGTTTCCCACATGGATAGCACAGGGCCAAGTACT